GCTTTATAACTGTATCAACTCTACCATCATCTAATCTGGACTATTTTGAGCGGCATCAATTGTCGACCACGATAGTGAAGCAACCATAAATCCAAAGTCTTCAAGATGAGGGTTAGCTATAAACATTTGTCCATTTTCCAGGATGTCTAGTTTTCCCTTACTTTTTTCATCCTGCATGTCCCTTACAGAGATAGCTCCTCATACCCACTTGACATCCTCTATTCAATAATATGGATATGACATGTTTCATGTACATACTTTTGCTCTACTTGCCACACCATCTCCTAGTTTTACATTTTTCACACTTGGTAGCTTTTTTGTTACCAAATGTAATTACCTTTAAACCTTTTTACCTGAGACTTATTTTGTTTTTTATCACACTGGCCGATTCCCACCAAGGCAGGGTGGCCCGAAAAAGAAAAACTTTCACCATCATTCACTCCATCACTGTCTTGCCAGAAGGGTGCTTTACACTACAGTTTTTAAACCAACATTAACACCCCTCCTTCAAGAGTGCAGGCACTGTACTTCCCATCTCCAGACTCACGTCCGCCTCCCGTTTCCCTGAATCCCTTCATAAATGTTACTTTTGCGCACACTCCAACAGCACGTCAAGTAATTAAAAACCATTGTCTCCATTCACTCCTAGCAAACACGCTCACGCCATGCCTCATAAAAGTTCCAAGCCCCTCGCACACAAAAACCTCCTATACCCCCTCCCGCAAACCTTTCCTAGGCCGACCCCTAACCCCGCCTTCCTTCCACTACAGACTGATCACTCTGAAGTCATTGTTCGCTCCTATCACTCTACAATGTCCGAACCACTCAACAACCCTCTCATCCCTCTGGACAACAGTTTTGGTAATCTCACACCTCCTAACTTCCAAACTACGAATTCTCTGCATTATATTCACACCACACATTGCCCTCAGACATGACATCTCCACTGCCTCCAGCCTTCTCCTCAATGCAACATTAATCACCCACGCTTCACACCCATATAAGAGCGTTGGTAAAACTATACTCTCATACATTCCCCTCTTTGCCTCCAAGGACAAAGTTCTTTGTCTCCAGACTCCTAAGTGCACCACTCACTCTTTTTTCCCTCATCAATTCTATGATTCACCTCATCTTTCATAGACCCATCTGCTGACACGTCCACTCCCAAATATCTGAATACGTTCACCTCCTCCATACTCTCCCTCCAATCTGATATCCAATCTTTCATCACCTAATCTTTTTGTTATCCTCATTACCTTACTCTTTCCTGTATTCACCTTTAATTTTCTTTTTTTGCACACCCTACCAAAATCATCCACCAATCTCTTCAACTTCTCTTCCGAATCTCCCAAGAGCACAGTGTCATCAGCAAAGAGCAGCTGTGACAACTCCCACTTTGTGTGTGATTCTTTATCTTAACTCCACGCCTCTTGTCAAGACCCTCGCATTTACTTCTCTTACAACCCCATCTATAAATATATTAAACAACCACGGTGACATCACACATCCTTGTCTAAGGCCTACTTTTACTGGGAAAAAAATTCCCTCTTTCCTACATACTCTAACTTGAGCCTCACTATCCTCGTAAAAACTCTTCACTGCTTTCAGTAACCTACCTCCTACACCATACACTTGCAACATCTGCCACATTGCCCCCCTATCCAACCTGTCATACGCCTTTTCCAAATCCATAAATGCCACAAAGACCTCTTTAGCCTTATCTAAATACTGTTCACTTATATGTTTCACTGTAAACACCTGGTCCACACACCCCCTACCTTTCCTAAAGCCTCCTTGTTCATCTGCTATCCTATTCTCCGTCTTACTCTTAATTCTTTCAATTATAACTCTACCATACACTTTACCAGGTACACTCAACAGACTTATCCCCCTATAATTTTTGCACTCTTTTATCCCCTTTGCCTTTATACAAAGGAACTATGCATGCTCTCTGCCAATCCCTAGGTACCTTACCCTCTTCCATACATTTATTAAATAATTGCACCAACCACTCCAAAACTATATCCCCACCTGCTTTTAACATTTCTATCTTTATCCCATCAATCCCGGCTGCCTTACCCCCTTTCATTTTACCTACTGCCTCACGAACTTCCCCCACACTCACAACTGGCTCTTCCTCACTCCTACAAGATGTTATTCCTCCTTGCCCTATACACGAAATCACAGCTTCCCTATCTTCATCAACATTTAACAATTCCTCAAAATATTCCCTCCATCTTCCCAATACCTCTAACTCTCCATTTAATAACTCTCCTCTCCTATTTTTAACTGACAAATCCATTTGTTCTCTAGGCTTTCTTAACTTGTTAATCTCACTCCAAAACTTTCTTATTTTCAACAAAATTTGTTGATAACATCTCACCCACTCTCTCATTTGCTCTCTTTTTACATTGCTTCACCACTCTCTTAACTTCTCTCTTTTTCTCCATATACTCTTCCCTCCTTGCATCACTTCTACTTTGTAAAAACTTCTCATATGCTAACTTTTTCTCCCTTACTACTCTCTTTACATCATCATTCCACCAATCGCTCCTCTTCCCTCCTGCACCCACTTTCCTGTAATCACAAACTTCTGCTGAACACTAACACTACATTTTTAAACCTACCCCATACCTCTTCGACCCCATTGCCTATGCTCTCATTAGCCCATCTATCCTCCAATAGCTGTTTATATCTTACCCTAACTGCCTCCTCTTTTAGTTTATAAACCTTCACCTCTCTCTTCCCTGATGCTTCTATTCTCCTTGTATCCCATCTACCTTTTACTCTCAGTGTAGCTACAACTAGAAAGTGATCTGATATATCTGTGGCCCCTCTATAAACATGTACATCCTGAAGTCGACTCAACAGTCTTTTATCTACCAATACATAATCTAACAAACTACTGTCATTTCGCCCTACATCATATCGTGTATACTTATTTATCCTCTTTCTTAAAATATGTATTACCTATAACTAAACCCCTTTCTATACAAAGTTCAATCAAAGGGCTCCCATTATCATTTACACCTGGCACCCCAAACTTACCTACCACACCCTCTCTAAAAGTTTCTCCTACTTTAGCATTCAAGTCCCCTACCACAATTACTCTCTCACTTGGTTCAAAGGCTCCTATACATTCACTTAACATCTCCCAAAATCTCTCTCTTCATCAGAGTACAAAACAAATTCTGGCCACAAAATAGAGCGAAACACCAACGTCAAAGACCTGGGAGTGATTATGTCGGAGGATCTCACCTTCAAGGACCATAACATTGTATCAATCGCATCTGCTAGAAAAATGACAGGATGGATAATGAGAACCTTCAAAACTAGGGAGGCCAAGCCCATGATGACACTCTTCAGGTCACTTGTTCTATCTAGGCTGGAATATTGCTGCACTCTAACAGCACCTTTCAAGGCAGGTGAAATTGCCGACCTAGAAAATGTACAGAGAACTTTCACGGCGTGCATAACGGAGATAAAACACCTCAATTACTGGGAGCGCTTGAGGTTTCTAAACCTGTATTCCCTGGAAAGCAGGAGGGAGAGATACATGATTATATACACCTGGAAAATCCTAGAGGGACTAGTACCGAACTTGCACACGGAAATCACTCGCTACGAAAGCAAAAGACTTGGCAGACGATGCACCATCACCCCAATGAAAAGCAGGGGTGTCACTAGCACGTTAAGAGACCATACAATAAGTGTCAGGGGCCAGAGACTGTTCAACTGCCTCCCAGCACACATAAGGGGGATTACCAACAGACCCCTGGCAGTCTTCAAGCTGGCACTGGACAAGCACCTAAAGTCAGTTCCTGATCAGCCGGGCTGTGGCTCGTACGTTGGTTTGCGTGCAGCCAGCAGCAACAGCCTGGTTGATCAGGCGCTGATCCACCAGGCGGCCTGGTCACAGACCGGGCCGCGGGGGCGTTGACCCTCGAAACTCTCTCCAGGTAAACTCCAGGTAGGTTTTATGCTTCCTTTTGCAGACCACAATAATAATGATAGTGGAAAAATAAATATAACTAGGTAAGATTTGATGCAGTCATGACTGTTTCCAGATACCAGATAGAAAATAGTCAACATGGAATAATTTTTTTTTAGTAATGTGTGGAGTTTGACTTCAGTTTTGGTGGCATGTATTATTGGTTTTCATGGTTGTATGTACTTGGTTGTGTGGTGGTATCATCCACCATCTCCATTGCTGATTGTGTAGTGTTCTCCACTGTTCCATTGTTGGTTGTATAGTGGTGATGGTAGTTGGTTGTGTAGTGTTCTCCACTGTTACATTGTTGGTTGTGTAGTGTTCTCCATTGTTTCATTGTTGGTTGAATAGTGGCGATGGTAGTTGGTTGGTTGTGTAGTGTTCTCCACTGTTTCGTTGTTGGTTGTGTAGTGGTTCCATCCATAGTCTCATTACTAGCTGTGTAGTGGTTGTAGTAGTTAGTTTAGTAGTAGTTAGTTTAGTGGTGGTGGTAATTGGAAGCTAAAGTAGTGGTGATAGTTACTGGCTAGTCCTGTAGTGTTGCCCTTCACTGTCTCATTGCTGGTTGTGTAGTGGTGGCAGTGGTAGTTGGACGAGTTGCAGATTACCTTATCTATCATAGGTTATGATAGTTTAGTGATGGTGTAGTGATGGTTTCATTTCTCTCACTGGTTGGTAGTTGGTTGCGTAGTGGACTAGTAGTGGTCAGTATTTTATTATAATAGACTATACAGTACATTCATTCTGTATTTTCCATATTTCTCTATCGCTTGTATGCGATGAAATTGGAGTAGTATTAGACGTAGTGCAGCAAAGAGGCTTCTTTTCCTTCAAAATATTATTTGCAACATGAGATACCATACCAAGATTAGGGATACCTTCCTTGTCCACCTTACTGCAGTAAACCATTTTTATTTTTTAACATATGGGCCGTCTCCCACTGAGGTAAGGTGATCCGAAAAAGAAGCAGCAAATAAACCATAACCAATTAAATGTTATTTTTTTCTAGATCAAAATGGAAGCAAAAGGAGTGAATTCACTTTCGATCAGGTGTACGGGCCAAGAGCAACACAAACAAAAATATTCGAAGAAATATCACAGCTCTGTCAGTCGGTAATAGACGGACAGAACGCATGTGTATTGGCGTATGGGCAAACAGGCTCGGGAAAGACTTACACAATGGAAGGTGTGCTTCAGAACGAAGAGCAGCAGGGCATGATTGCTCGGACGGTGAAGTAAATCTTCACAATAAACGGGCTGAAGGATGAGGTATGAGAATTCTTAAATTTTCTTTCAAGACACAAATAACCCGCACATGGAAGAGAGAAGCTTACGACGACGTTTCTGTCTGACTTGGACCATTTACAGTCACAGTATTGTGCCTTTTTCTTTGCTATTTACTCTTTCAATAAGTAATTTTTCCTAGACCTTTGTATATATAGTATGCTTGGAGTATTTCTTTTACCATAATTATGCACTTGGTTGCTTAAATTCTGTAGTAATTTAAGTTATTCATGTTTGATTGCTTTTGGTAAATGATAATGAAAATGGCTGTAAATTATATTCTAGTAAATTGTTTTTCATTTAAAGGCTTTTTTTTATATATATTTGACACATTCGCCAACATTCACTCAATCGCCACTTTGCCAGAAGTGTGTATTCAAATGACCCTCTGAACTGCAACACCCTCACCAATTCTTCATAGTGCTGCCACTGCTTTTCCCACCTCCATGAGCCAGGTCTAGCTAATTGCAAAGTCACTTGTTTGCACAGAACTGCTAAATGCCTCAAATGATGTAGTGGAAGTTTTAGCAGTAAAGGTAGAGAACCAAAACCTAGTCATTGTGGTAGTCTACAAGCCTCCGGATGCAACATCCCAGCAATTCCAGGAACAGCTGCTAAAAATTGACCACTGTCTGGAAAATCTTCCAGCTCCTGCACAACATCTTGCTCCTGGGGGATTTCAACTTAAGGCACCTAAAATGGAGGAATATAGCAAATAATATTGTTGCAGTAATAACACCAGGAGGCAGCTCTGATGAAAACTCACACGAGCTTTTAAATATCTGCACAAAATTCAATTTAAACCAGCAAATAATAGAGCCTACTAGACTGGAGAATACACTAGACCTCATCTTCACTAACAATGATGATCTGATAAGAAATGTCCCCCATATCAAAAACAATATACTCAGATCACAACATAATTGAGGTTCAGACATGTATGCCTGGAGCCCCAGACCAACAAAATGAGATTAGTCACGAGGGAGCATTCACCAAATTCAACTTCAATAACAAAAACAAAGTGGGACCAAGTAAACAAAGTCCTAACCAATATAAGCTGGGAAGATATACTAAGCAACACAGACCCCAACTTACGCCTAGAACAGATTAACTTGGTGGCACTAGATGTATGCACAAGGCTTATTCCTCTAAGAAAAAGGAGTAGATGTAAAATAGAAAGACAGGCGCTCCCTTTACAGGCGACGGAAAAGAATAACAGAGCGGCTAAAAGAGGTCAATATAACTGAAATGTGTAGGGAGACACTGGTCAGAGAAATAGCAAGCATCGAACTTAAGCTAAAGGAATCTTATAGGAGTCAGGAATTGCGGGAAGAACTAAAAGCCATAAAATGAAATCGAAAGAAACCCAAAGTATTTCTTCTATGCCAAATCTAAGTCGAGAACAACGTCCAGTATTGGGTCCCTACTTAAACAAGATGGGTCCTACACAGATGACAGCAAGGAAATGAGTGAGCTACTCAAGTCCCAATATGACTCGGTTTTTAGCAAGCCGCTAACCAGACTGAGTCGAAGATCAAAATGAATTTATGAGAGCCACAAAATTTGGTTAACACAAGCCTATCCGATGTTATTCTGACGCCAAATGACTTTGGACAGGCAATAAATGACATGCCCATGCCCTCTGCCCCAGGGCCAGACTCGTGGAACTCTGTGTTCATCAAGAACTGCAAGAAGCCCCTATCACGAGCCTTTTCCATCCTATGGAGAGGGAGCATGGACACGGGGGTCGCCCCACAGTTACTAAAAAACAACACAGCCCCACTCCACAAAGGGGGCAGTAAAGCAACAGCAAAGAACTACAGACCGATAGCACTAACATCCCATATCATAATCTTTGAAAGGGTCGTAAGAATCAAGATCACCACCCATCTAGAAACCCATCAGTTACACAACCCAGGGCAACATGGGTTTAGAACAGGTTGCTCCTGTCTGTCAAATATTGGATCACTACGACAAGGTCCTAAATGCACTAGAAGATAAAAAGAATGCAGATGTAATATATACAAACTTTGCAAAAGCCTTCGACAAGTGTGACCATGGCGTAATAGCGCACAAAATGCGTGCTAAACGAATAACAGGAAAAGTCGGTCGATGGATCTATAATTTCCTCACTAACAGAACACGGTAGTCAACAGAGTAAAGTCCGAGGCAGCTACGGTGAAAAGCTGTTCCACAAAGCACGGTACTCTCTCCCATCTTGTTCCTCATCCTCATACCTGAGACAAATATGTCAGCCACAGCACCGTGTCTTCCTTTGCAGATGACACCCGAATCTGCATGACTGTCTTCCATTGCAGACACTGCAAGGCTCCAGGTGGACATCAACCAAATCTTTCAGTGGGCTGCAGAAAACAATATGAAGTTCAACAATGAGAAATTTCAATTACTCAGATATGGTAAACACAAGGAAATTAAAACTTCATCAGAGTACAAAAATTCTGGCCACAAAATAGAGCAAAACACCGTCAAAGACCTGGGAGTGATAATGTCGGAGGATCTCGCCTTCAAGTACCATAACATTGTATCAATCGCATCTGCTAGAAAAATGACAGGATGGATAATGAGAACCTTCAAAACTAGGGAGGCAAAGCCCATGATGACACTCTTCAGGTCACTTGTTCTATCTAGGCTGGAATATTGCTGCACACTAACAGCACCTTTCAAGGAAGGTGAAATTGCTGACCTAGAAAATGTACAGAGAACCTTTACGGTGCGCATAACTGAGATAAAACACCTCAATTACTGGGAGTGCTTGAGGTTCCTAAAACTGTATTCCCTGGAATGTGGGCGGGAGAGATGCATGATAATATACACCTGGAAAATCCTAGAGGGACTAGAACCGAACTTGTACACGAAAATCACTCGCTACGAAAGCAAGACTTGGCAGACGATGCAACATCCCCCCAATGAAAAGCAGGGGTGTCACTAGCACGTTAAGAGACCATACAATAAGTGTCAGGGGCCCGAGACTGTTCAACTGCCTCCCAGCATACACAAGGGGGATTACCAACAGACCCCTGGCAGTCAAGCTGGCACTGGACAAGCACCTAAAGTCGGTTCCTGACCAGCTGGGCTGTGGCTCTTACGTTGGTTTGCGTGCAGCCAGCAGTAACAGCCTGGTTGATCAGGCTCTGATCCACGAGGAGGCCTGGTCACAGACCGGGCCGCGGGGGCGCTGACCCCCGGAACTCTCTCCAGGTAAAACTCCAGATAAGCTGGGGTCAGTCTAGCCTCTCAGGTTTCAGTAAACGCTCCATGTTGTGTTGTAGTATAGAGCAGGATCACCACCAGGTAGCCCAGGATTCTATGTTCAATAAATTGTTGTGATAGAAAGAGAAACAGGCCTTATCTCTAGGCTTTATTGAACATAGAATCTTCATAGTACTTCTGCAACAAAATATAATGACTAGTACATCTAATTACTGCTTCTACAGGGATGGTGATGTCTTGCATATGTCAAGAGAAGTTATAACTCAGGCCATATATTTGAACTCGCCATGTAATCTGCATCACTAATATATGGATATAAGTGAAGAGAATCACACACCATGTGTTAGCGCCCACGACACACACCAAGCTGTTGTTGCTAAGGCTCCCGAGAGGTGGTGCAGTATTATCCTGCTGCTGCTCCCCACAGGAGCAGTATCACTACAGCTAGAACTGTCAGAATTAGAACTAGCATACCTTGTCTATATTTTTGGCATCTTGAACAAACTGAATCTTCAGCTGCAATGGAAAGGAGTAAATCTGTTCTCTCGCCAAGGAATTTTTTTTTTTTTTTTTTTTTTTTTTGAGAAATTAGAACTCTGAATCGGAAGAGTTGAAGATAAATATTTAGTTCAATTTCCATGTGTGGATGTATGCCATGCTAGGTACATATTCTCAAGCATTTACAAAAGATGCGGGATGAATTTCAGTGATACTTTCTGGAGGTGGACATGACAAGGGATGGTTTTTTTTTTCATCAGGAATCCATTCGTAACAATGTTCATGGTGTTCCAGAGGCTATGCACAAGGAGTTCTTGGACCTGGAAAATGATTTGCCAGCTTAAGATGTGTACTAGCCGTCTACCATGGAAAAATATTTGGGCCAGTATGATTATTTAATCAAATCTGTCAAACACTTGCAGTCAGATTTCTTTTGTCATTTGCATCAACTTTATTTATTTATTTATTTATTTTAAATTTGTGCACACGTACAGAGGTACAAAAAAAAAATACAGATAATAGCAGTATGCCAAAGCCACTTATACTATGCATAGCATTACGGGCTGGCTTAAAATTAACTTAAGATTAACTAAGCAATGATGAAGTCAGTGATAAAACATTAATGTAAACAGATTACTATAAAGCACAAGTGAGTATTACAAAGACAGGTCATATGAAGGATTCTGTTAGGTAGTGTATTTAAAAAATAATAAAGTTAGATTCGGTTTTAGGTTTAACATTTATGTGATATAATTGTGAGAAACATTTAAGATATGCAATTTATAAGGTTCAGTTATTCAGTATTTATTTGGTTTTGGGTGAGTAAGTGATCTTTGAGTAGAGACTTGAATTTATAAACAGGTAGTGTTTCTTTTATATTTACAGGTAATGAATTCCAGATTTTAGGGCCTTTTATGTGCATTGAGTTTTGCATAGTGTGAGATGAACACGAGGAACATCAAAGAGTGATCTGTGCCTTGTGTTATGGTCATGTGTTCTGTTGAGGTTGGCAAGGAGATGTTTGAGGGGAGGGTTAATATCAGAGTTAAGTGTTCTATGTATGTAATAGGTGCAGTAATAAGTATGGATGTTTTGTATGGTGAGTAGGTTTAGTGCATTGAATATTGGTGGAGTGTGCTGCCTGTAGTGAGAATTTGTTATCATTCTAACTGCAGCCTTTTGTTGGGTAATTAGTGGTCTGAGATGGTTAATTGTTGTTGAGCCCCATGCACAAATTCCATAGGTGAGATAGGGGTAAATAAGAGAGTGATATAGGGCCAGGAGGGCTGACTGTGGAACATAGTACCGTATCTTCGATAGTATGCCTACAGTCTTGGAAATTTTCTTAGAA